CTAATTCCCAACCCACAGGTCTTTAGTGCCCAGGTAACAAACCCCAGGCACTGACAGCAGTGAAAGCACATCCACAGAGTACTTGATAAAGCACAAGCTGCACGTTGGCACCTGCCCCTCTGCATTTGCAATATGGTTTGTGTACAGGTGATGCTGTAATTCACCCTCACAGAGCACATTTTCCATGCCTAAGGCCAGCACCAGTCCAGACACCTGAGATAAGGTGGTAGAAATTGAAATACTTACAGCAGAAATGTTGCCCACTGCTACCAGTGTTCCCAGTTTTTGCCTTTGCTGGTCTGCCATCAGGATGAAGGGAAGGAGCTGCTGCTTCTTAAATTTTCCCTGTTAGGTGAGACCTGGAAAGTTTCCTAGGATAAATTCCTACAAATTCTGTGAGAAAGTACCACATCAATAACTGCCTTGTATTTCTTAGTGCTGCATCCCAGGACAGGGGCATGGACTGAGCCCTTCACATACAGCCTGGTCTTCAGAAAATCCATGCCAGCTCAAAGGGTCATCTCCTCAAGGTTTCTACTCTATGAAATGCTGTTAAAATGCTGTTAAAACTGGCCCCAAAAGAGTCTGCCCTAGCAATCAATTCTTTTTCTTAAAAGACTTTTGGCTTATTTCAGAAATTAAGTAAAAAACCTTACCATAATTTGGTAGGGACATGTTGATTCAAGGAAGCAGCTGCTGAGTGAGCCAGAGATGAAGTAAATAACGAAGCTGATAGCAGCATTATCCTGTGCCCCCTCAGCAATGAAAACATGGACTGGGCTAATTCCTGGTAAAAGAAAATATCCTTTTTTATTTTCTTGGCAGGCACTGCAGCTTGGCTGCTTCAAGGCAAAATCTGAATACTCCCACAGCCAAGGCCTTCCTTCCTGAGCACCTCATGTCTTCTGCAACAGAAACAGATTTCCCTCTTCCTACTGCACTGTTCCCCTTTCTTCCCCAAGCAGTTTCCTTTCTCCTTACAGCCTGCTTTTCCTCCAGCTAGCTGGGACCCTCTACTCAAATGAGAAGTAATTAAGCTGAAAATTACCCTTGAGGACTGGAGTCAACCTTTGGGAAGCCAGAGCCAGCCAGACTCTTATTCACATGGCAGCACCACTCACAAAGAAAGCAAAATACAGTAAACAGAAAGGAACCAAGCCTGGGTGAAAACTGAAGCAGTTGCCATAGGAAAGATGGGGAATATTTCCCTTGTGGTACCCCAGTGTAACCAAATCTGTACTGCATATCTAGGAAAGCAGGAAACCCAAGTCACAAGTCCCCTGATAAACAAAGGTGGGCATCGAATCCAAGTCCCCACATTGCCCTGGCAGAATATCCCAATTAAGCTGCTTGGTAAAACTGTTGTGTGTTGTCCCTGTTCTAAGGCTGCCCCATATGCCAGGGAGGCTCAAGATAATCAAGGTTCATCTTTTAATTTTGCTTAGGGCATAAATTCATAGTGCTCTCTGCCCTCCCTTCAAAGCATCCCACATAGCAGGAAACACTGTTTTCCTTGGGGTAATGCTGGCTGACAAGTCATCGTTAACAACGTTAACATCGTTAGTCTCTCCATACGAGATCAGGCTTTGGAGCATTCACTGATAGGGAATGCAACGAGCAAACTGTAGCGACCCAAGTGTGTTACACCCTTCTGTCTTTCAGGAGATCAGGGGAAGAGAATCAGACACTGGTTCATGGTCAGCCGGTACAAACCCCATATATGAACAAACCTAGCGTTAAGATCAAACACATGTTAAATTACCTCCAAAGCAATTAGTTCAAAGTCAAAGTCTTACTGTGACTACAATTGGAAATCAGGAAATTTATTGTTCTCCATTTTAAACATTTAAAATCAATGTGCTTGTCTTGTGAATGTACTGAAAGCTATTCTGAATACAAACCCCAAACCTATAAAAAATACCTAATTACTCTGAGTCTTCTATTCCTTTCTGCGACTTCACTGCCATTCCTCTCTCCTGAAGACCTTTTCTCACATGCATTTTCTTTGTTATTAGTGCTATCTATGAAATATGAATCCCAGTTCCATGATCGTCATAAAAATCATAAAATTCTATGCCTGCCATGAAAATATTACATGATTTATTTTTGTGGGAAGTACATATTAAATCTAAGTATTGAAATGGTATTTTGCCTCCTTGACATCAAGAACTTTAAAAGATGCCCAATTTCTCCTCAATTGCTATTATGTTAAGTTTCTTTCCCTGTTTTAAAGCAGATACTTCAGAAGCTATTTATAGATTGAGGTTAATATTCATATTGCCATATGCTCTACAGTATTTGCTCATATACCCTCTTCATTTTTATTTTATATGACATATGGTGGCTGCATTATACACGGCATTCTCCTAATGTATTACATATGCACATAACATTTAATACAATTGTGTGTATATTCACCGTGCTTTTCACAGGAGCAGATTGTAAAATGATGGACAACACAGCTCCTCCCCTCTGCCCCTTGCTGGACATGTTTAAAGGGAAAAGGTGTGGTCAAAATGCACTGGAACTCTCTGATTTGGATGTATAGACCCACACACAAAACTCTGCAGGGACAAAAAAATGCAGCATAAATTAGGAGAAAACTTCTGTGGTGGCTGAGGATCTCTCCTCACCCACAAATACACAGGGCAGCCTTCAGCAGCTTGGTCTGAGGGGTCACTGTATGGGGCTCTAAAACTCCCTATCAGCCTTACAACCTGAGGGAAGTGCTAACAAAGACCAAGATTCTTCCCCTCTTGTGGACACCAGAAGCTTAAAATTTATTTTATTGCATTTAGCTGATAGGTTCTTAATCTCACATTTTAGGGATTTCCATATGCAAGGTACTGTCACTAAATATAAGCAAAAATTATTCTATGAAAATCTGCCTCTCAAGTTAAAAAAATCCAACAAAACCAAACCAAAACCAAATCTGAAAACAGGAAAACAGCTACAAATTTCCTTCCATGTCACTGCACCTTTTGCATTGCTAAGACCACAGTGACACTAAAAAATAAAAATCTGAAAATACTGAAGCATTTTAAACTGAAGTTTTCTTTGAAATTTTCTTCCATTCTGTTTTGAAAGCTAGAAAAAGAAATAAAAGTCAACAGTCAAGAAGAGGAAGAAAAAAAAAACTCATTTGACTCAACTATTTATCCATATTTAGTATTGCCAAGGAACGGAAACATCAGTTATTCGCACAGCTCCAGTCATCATAGCACTCTATAAAGATCAGTGGTCACAGAGCACTCAAGAACTAATAATTAGTTTTCCCCCTTTTTAAGTGGAAAAATGTCCTCATGTTAATAATCAACAAGAATGTAAGATTTTCCATTAAACATTCCAGGCTTTGACATGTCTGCAGCGTTCTAGTCTCGCAATCCCTGGTTTATTGAATATTTTGTGTGGCTTTTTCCCAGAACAGGACCATCACCAGCGCTGTGTGTGCCAGCCTTGCTGCCACCATTGTTCGCCATGCAAAGGCAGGGTTGGTGGTTCCCAGAAAATGCTTTGCTCTGTGTTTCAGAGAGGCCACTGCAGGATCCCACTCAAGTGAGCCGGGAGAAAGGAGCGGGGAAAGCGTGGCCTGAGCCAATGCCTCCCCAGGGCCTGGCACGTCAGCTCTTCAAATGAAACAGAGCTCCTCACTACCAACAAAGAACAACTCCGTCCTGGCTCTGCAGGACCATCCATCTCCCTTCCCCAGCAAGAATTGCATACAGCCTTTGTTCTTGCAATCCTGCTCCTTTGTGCAAATTAATATGAACAAAATATATCAGTAACAACCAATATTGATAAGTGAAAATTGAGAGGATGCCACAATGCCTTCAACAGAACCAAATATTGCAAACGTCCATAGCCACTTTGCAGAACCAAAAGCTTTTCCCAAAAGGGCCAGGTGTTCTGGGATGAGTTCACAGGTTCCTGGTGATTCCAGTAGGAGCAAGGAGCACAACTCAGCCTCAGCAGCACAGGCCAACAACACACCACTCAAAAGCCTTGTACGTGTCAAATCCCCATTTCAATCACTAGGAACTCCATTGGAGTAAGGTGCTCATCGAGAAAAAATTGAAACTGTAGTTCAAACATTCAATGAACTACGGATTCCACTCCCAGGACCCGGGTTCAAAAAGCAGGCAAGGACAAAATCTGCTTTTCTTTTTGTACAGATTATCCCTTTATAAATATATTCTTATAAAATAGTTGCAATATCTCAAATATACTCCCTGCCCCCCCATCCTCCAATCCAAATGACACTTAATTAAGCCATCTGATCTTCAGAGGCTTTTTCCCCCCTGTCGGAAACAATGAAGAAAAAAGCAGATTTCTTCTAGAGCCATAGATTTTAACTACTGTATCACGTACAGAGAACAGAAAGAAAATCCTGGACACGATGCAGAAACCATGAAGAAAAATTATTAAAGATTTAGGAAAAAGAAAAATCAATCAAGGGAGATACACAAGCCTGATTAGGAAAGAAAAGATTGTATGTTCCTATATATAAATATATATATAGGCATGTTAACGGGTGGCTGCTTCTTCTAAGATTAAAGAAAATAACCTAAGGTTAAATATCCTTTTGAGTTTCTCTGCTGCCATCTACAAAACTGGAAACCTGTTTGCCATGGCTCCAAGCAAAGAGCTGATAACAATATTTTTGCAGCTAAATTCTCTTTTCCCACCAGCTCCTGAAGTCATGAGACAAATTCACTTGCCAGAAACTGATTGAGTACAGGGGATTTTTCCAAGTCTCTTTTCTGACCCAGATTTGTGTCTTCGTGCTTTCTGAACAGATGGATAAGATGATCATTCTTTAAAGATCCCAACTTAAATGAAAATGTGTTTAGTGGTTCCAGTGCAGGGAAATACAGTAAGCCATTAAACCATGACAAATTTGACACACACAACAACTTCAGGGAAAACAGGCCAAGAAAATGGAATGTCTACCTTACCAAAGTAGAAACTGAATCCGAGTTATTTAAAAAAAAAGCAGCAAGGGAGATAAGAAAATAGCCATTTGTCCTGTCTGGGCTCACACCACAGCCCACTGCAGGAGCCCAGCAGCTCCCACCAGCTGCCCCCACCCAGCCCCACCCACCAGCGTTACCAAATTAGCACAGAAACACAAAACTCTCTGTTAGAGGTACAGCAAAGCTCCCTGGAAAAGACTACAAGACACATTCTGCTAACTACTTGCCCTCAATTCACAAATGAATATGGTCAGGCACAGCTAAAGAGAAAAAAAAAAAAAAAAGAACCAAGACAACAAAACCCCACTGA